CTGTTTCCTGCCTTCTGTTAGCAGTGTGGAGAAATGATGACTTTCTGTTGATGCCAATATTCCAGACACAAATGTGAGATCCAGCATCCCATGGGTGTTGCTACTCATTTGGCAACTCGATTTTAGGATTTGGGAAAAGTTCCTTATAATCTCCATCCCTTGGTTTACTGTGTCAAATAATAGATACGAGAAATGTACCACCTTTCCCTCAAACATGATACAAAGAGAAAATATTCATTCATCATCACTTATTCACTGAATATTCACCTTGTATGGCGACAAAAATATCACAAGTATTGCAGGTAGTATTATTACCGCAACCATTGCAAGGGAATGGGCACTTGAGTTGATTCTAAAAGCAAGGCAAAGTCATTGAGAGCTGCTATGTGGTGACAGAGAAAATGTGCCAAATGCTGCTTACCCACCTAATCCTGTGGGTGTTCTTTTGAAAATGACAGAAAGTACCATTGCTTTAAAATATATTCTCTTCAGGCAAGATATGTGTCCTTACTGAGAAAGTATATAATGAGATGCTTAATGAAACAAAATGTTTAACCGATCTGACACTCAAACGAGTACACATGGCCTGATGTGCATTTTCCCTGTGAGACCTTGAGCTGTAGGTTTTAAATCGCCCAAGAGCAGGTTAGGTTGGACAGGCTGGATCCCAAGTACCTATCTTTGGTTGATTTTTATACGATGTACCCCATCCCTCATCTTTGAGTCAAACAGCTTAATGCTCACCAATTAACGAGACTTGGGGCTATGAAGTGTCACTGTGATTTGGATGGTCTGTGATTGCTTAAAACAAGGGCGATTTCGGACACACTGATTAGCCATACCACTATGAGATGGATGATTCTTTCTTCCCTTTGGTATATTAGATGGTGGGGTAACTGGCACCTTGATGGTGGACTCTGGACACCAGCTTTTTAAAGAGCTGGTGATCCTGGCACAGCAAGGAATTCCTCAAGGGGCTTGTTGTTTAATTACGGAGGAGAGACTAACACCATGGAGACCCGTCTTGTAATAAGCACTGCCACAGAATCCTGGTGAGGTGTTCCTGGGGACAAAGCAAGAAGCAACCCACCTGCTGATGAAGGGCAGGCTGTTCGATTGCAGCCAGGAGGCTGTATTGGGTATGGACCCTGGAGGAAGGTGAGAAATCTCACAGGTGGGCAGAGGGCGGGGAGGAGAGCCACCAAGCAGAGAGTATCATGAAGCAGCAGTCAGGTGTGGGATACCTGGAGGAGGTGTTCAAAGAACAGCAGGTGATAAGTGGAGCTGAAGTGCAGACAAGATGAGGACATTCTTTTCAGGTATTCCCGGGTTCAGTTATACGTAAGTTCATGCTTATCAATACCCTGGGGATTTGACGCTATACAAAATGAGATGGGATGTTTACTCCTTTGACGATAAAGCAATAGTTGGAAAAATTCCACGCTTACAATATACCCCTAAACCAGGGACACCAGGTGCCTGAGGGGATGAGCAGTATGATCTGAGCTTAGAAAGATGAGTCTGGCACAGAATAAAGGACATATTGGGAAAGAAAGAGAAGGCCATGTTGTCCTTTATGCTACCGTAAGCCAGTGACTAATAGTGACAATGATGGTGGCTAAGATGCAGGGTTTTAAGGGGTTAGGTCAGTAAATCAAGGTTGTTACATTTTGTCACCATCAAAGAATCTAAGCAGCTTGATATGAGATCATTGATGTACTACATAATTTTTGAAAATAACATCTTTCAATTAAGGTTTTCATGGTCATTATTAAAAGGAGACTTAATTTTCTGAGCTCACACCTCCAGACTTGGTAAAGGCAAGATAGAAATGAATTTGGGGCTGGAGCAAGCCAGTCAGGATGAAAATACTGCTGTAAATAACAGTGTGCTTTTTATACCTCCAAAATAACTGTAGTTTGTAACTCTTAACACTTAGGATAGGGATGGCAAAACGTTTTGTAATAATTAGCTTGACCAGATTCCACAATTTATCTTAAAGATTTTCATTACTCCACTGAAAGCAATTATGGACATTTTCTAAGAATCAAACTTAGCTAAGAAGAATATTTGGCTCATACACACACACACACACATTGATTTAGTTGTCTGGATATTTTTTGTACTCTGGTAGCCAGGTGCTTAAATGTAGTTCCTTCTCCCTTGTCTTCTTACAGCTGTTGCTTCCTTTAATTTAAGCATGCTATTGAGCTTTCCAAATTTGTCAATTATTGATTCACTGATTGCAACTATAAACCCAAGCTGGCTTTTCCAGGGATTTCAATCAGTCCAAGAAAATTGGGAAATAAGTGGATTTTTTTCTGGA